CCAACCGCCCTAACCGGGATTCAAACTTACCCAGGAGGTGAACCCTGGGGTTCCACACCAATGACAGAGACACTGTCTCTGGGCCAAAGCGCCACTAATCACAACTAATCGTGATTAACCATGATGGTCATTAATCACGATTATTCTTGATTAACTGATTGTAAAAAAAACATTTGTTTCATAAACTTGTTTTTTAAAAAGACTTTTTAAAACACATGGTTGTTGAGCTGATATTTGAAGCTCCAGGTGCTTCACTGGAATTAAAACTTTTGGCGACAGTGTGTGTAAATCACGACACTGTATTAGAACAACGATTTATGCATCAACAAGTTTAACGCGGTTATTTTGACAGCCCTAGTTTTTATGCTCCGTAAAAAAATGTTAAGATACAAAATATTAAGAAGAAGTAAAAGGTTGTATGACCGCGCGTTTGACGTTTAAGCCTCTCTGTCAATGTCACAGGCTCTGGTTACAGCAGATCAGATGGTGCACAGACTGGGGCCCGGTGTCGGAGGGTTAGTGCAGTCGGTGGACCCCAACGACGAGCTGGTGCTCACTATCCAGAGGATACTGAGGGGGGAGATTCCAGATGTTGATTCTGAAGAGATCTGGAAAATTCTGGAGGAATCGCCCAACTCCAGTGCCCCAGCTGTTCCTGCCGAGACAAGGTCCAACAGCCAACCTCAGGCAGTGGACCCAGTGGGAAGTGGGCGACGCCCCCTGGGGGCAGCGTTACACAGCCTCCAGCAACCCGCTGCTGCTGAACAGGCTGCTCCGGCTTTGTGCCGACAACTGCCTCACAGTCACACTGTGGTGCTGTCGGGGGGGCAACAAAATGACCAGGCAGGTGATCACAGCCAAGGACAGGTAAGAGGGACAGCTGGAGCTGTAATTAAACCTGTCAATCCTTTGCCATGAGACATATCAGGGTTAACCTGTGGCCACTAGGGGAAAGTACAAATCTTTTGAATCTAAACCAGTGATTCCCAACCACTGTGTGGCAGCGTCTTTGTCATTTAGAAGACAGGTGTCAAAATGATTTTGGTTCACGGGCAGCTTACAACCTGATTAGATGTCAAGTGGGCCGCACCAGTACAACCATGACCTAACTAACTATGAATTATCCATGATTTTCCCCTTTGTTTTCATACGAAGACGTACAAGTCTATTTGATATTTACTATTATTTAGTCACATTTAATGAAATATAATTTTACAAACAATATCCTGAACATGAAGTGTTTGTGTATTTTTTTAATTTTCATTAAAAAAATTCAGCAATCGGGCCTGATTAAACACCCTAACAGGCCGGCTTTGGCCTGCGGGCCGCATGTTTGACACCACTGCTTTAGAGTCAATGTAAAACATACAATTATAACTTACAAAAGTAGACGTATTCTGAGTGGCTTCAACTAGGCTATATGTATATATGTGTATATATGTGTATATATATAAATAAATATATATGTACTGTAGTAACCAATGTTCTGTCGATGTTCAGGATCTGGCTCCATCAAGGCCAAGTGTGAGCAGACCAGGCAAGGGGTCGGAAGCATCAGCATCAGGAGCACCGCAGGAGCATCCTGAGGACGAGTTGGTGCTCATCACTCAGAAGATGTTCAGAGAAGACATGCCACATATCGACTTTGACGTGCTGCGACAACTTTTGGAGGAGTCCCCCAACCCTCTGCTCCCTCCTCCCGCCCCTGTTTTCGTCGGCCAACCTCGATCAGCACAGAGTGTCAGCAGCAGCTCCGCCTCACTGACTGCTGACACGCTGTTTGCGGCCGAACCAGCGACCCCTGCTGTATACCCAGTGCCACTGCACAATCCAACTTTAGCGATGGCAGAGGGCCATTACAATGAGCTGATGAGTGACGACAGCCAGAGCCAGGTGAGAAGGAAGAGAGAAAAAGTCATTGAAAAGTTTGTAAATTATTTAGCAGGTAGTTCTCAACATATGGTATGTGGTCCACTAGTGGTACAAGGTGCTACTTTGGGTCCTAGAATGACAGGGGATGGGGCATAAAGATGGAGCCTTCGTATGAACTAAAACAAATGACGCTTTAAAAGTCGGTCTGCGAAGGCTAAAACGCTGAAATTCTTTTAGCCTTTTCTACGCCATCTATTGGAGAAATACGGGCATTGCAGGGGAAAGGCAGAAACATAATGAAAATAGAAATAAATAACATAATTTGGACAAATTCGGTGGGCCAGATTAAAAAGCCAAATGGGCCGCATTTGGCCCCCGGGCCGTAGTTTGCCAACACTCTGCAGATGTGTCTCATGGCAGGACAAACGTTTTCGCTATAATAAGCAATAAACTTCAACAACCTCCACTTCAAATCCTGCTCACAGGACCATGTTGACAGCAGTGTGGGGACGGAGACGGACTCATCGGCAGAGACGTCAGAACAAGAGGACGAGTTGACGCTCATCACCCAGAGGATGTTGAGAGGAGAAATCCTGGACATCGATTCTGAGGAGATTCGTAATATCTTGGGGGAGTCACCTGACCCTCTCACTGCTGCGTCAGGGTTCAAAGTCCCAGCTCTGGGCGTGGGCTGCACCCCCATGACCGCTGCCCCTCACGGCTTCCAGCAACCAATGACTGTAGCTGGGGGACGGATGGCCCCCCCGCTGTGTCATCAACCACCGCACAGTCAAACTGTAGTGCTGTCGGGGGGGCACCAAAATGGCCACGGTGCCACTCACAGCCACAGACAGGTAGTGTACGAGTGTTTCGTTACTCATTTTGAACAGGAAACACAACAAATGTCCTATCGTGCTCTCCTCCTCTGTTGACAGTATCTGTCAAATCAATGTCCTGTGTACAACAGCCTGGGAGGAGCGGGTGGCAGCCTCAGCCCCGCAGTAAGACCCCCGCATCACAACACACTCACAGAGTCACGTTGCCAAGACCCCCGCATCACAACACACTCACACAGAGTCACGTTGCCCTACGACATTATTATTATTATCATTATTATTATTATTATTATTATTATTATTATTATTATTATTAGGAAATATTATCATTATCCAGCCAATTCATTGCAGTTTTCAGTGCGAGATGAAAAAGTTCATCTTTCACAGCGTCAGGGTTCAAATCCAGCCCGGTGCAGATTGTTGGTCATATTGTATCATATATTATTCAAAAAACGCTTCAAAGTAAAGAGTGAGAACATGAATTGAAAAATTTTTTTAAAAAAAGTTGTTTTTTTTAAAACCAACAGTGTCGACCCCTGGTGGCCAATTAACAGATAGAACGGTTGTAGATGCGGTACCAAAACCAAAGTGTATGTCCATGTACAGTGCACCGTCACAGATCATGAATAACTGCTACAGACTAACTTCTTCTTCTTCTTCTCCTCTTCCTCTCTACTCAGTACCTGCAAAATCAGAGTCAGCGTCTGGTTTTTACTCCTCTGGCGGCAGCAGGCAATGATGCATCTACCTCAGTAAGGACCTGGTCAATGATACACATACAGCATGGGGGTGTGAGGGGTGGGAGGGGGTGAGACAGTGAGAGAGGGAGAGAGAGAGAGGTAGAGTAACAGACAGAGACATTTGGACATGAGACAGTCTGTGAGGACCCCCCCCCTTCCATCTCCCCCTCCTGGACAGATGCCACCGTTTCTCATGCGTTACATGTTTTGACCGTCCTTTGTCTCTGTGTCCAGTTCATGTCATTGAAGCTGCCTCAGGGCGTCCTCAACATGCCCGCAGTCGGTGTAGTGTAAGTGACCGACGTCTCACAGGAAACGGCTGCAGCTCCAGAGCAGCTGTGGTCACTCTGAGGTCAACTTCTTCTCTGCTCTTTGTAGGAATGGAGAGGTGGTGTACGAAGTTCCCCCAGATGTAACTCTGAGTTACGTTAACCTTGGTCCCGCAGCACAGAACAGCGCCTTACCAAAGTAAGTCAACCTGAGGGGCTCGGGATCCACAGGGGACCACGTCAGAGCCTAGTGTATTGTAACTGGGTTCTTTTTCGTCCTGTGGTTCTGTGTCCCCACAGTAAGAAAAGACGTGAGTGTAAGGGCCTGGACGAGCAGCCGTACGTTAAGAAGCCTCCTAACGCCTTCATGCTGTTCATGAGAGAACACAGGGCGAAAGTTGCTGCTGAACACAGCGCAGCGGCCAATGCTGTCCTGGGGCTGATGGTAATGGTCTTTGTTCAAACGTCATCACAGTTTGACCAAAGATTTGTAGGTTTTCTGGGGTCATTGGCAACATCAACAACCTGCACCCACCAATATAGACCAGTGTTGATGTCTCTCTTTTATTATTATTATTATTATTGTTGTTATTGTTGTTGTCTAGCCTTGACTGTGACGCCTTTGGTTTTCTCTGTGCACTGACGCCGTGTTGACTGTGTCCACAGTGGAAATCTTTGTCCAAAGACGAGCAAAAGAAATACAGAGACGAGGCGGACCAGGAGAGGATAAAACACATTTTACAGTTTCCTCAGTGGTCGTGTAAAGACAACTATGTAAGTTCACTGCGCTTGACGACGGCTGCCATCACAGAAGGAGGTGTGGTCAGTGAAATACATACAAAAAATGATCTTTTTTTTTGTTTAGGGTAAAAAGAGAAGAAGAATCAGAAAGAAGTCTCCGAACATAACTCTGGGTACATTTATCAAATAGTACAAATATATACTTTGTGTTAAAATCCCAAGATGATTAATGATTCATCTTCTTTTTTTTCAGCAACACTTTCAGACCCTGATGTGACACAGACTGTGGTTCTGGAGACGTCTGCCTCTCAGGACTACAGTGACTGCGAATGATACATGTACGAAAAGTTGGGTTTGTTTTTACTTTTTCCAATGAATCAATGATCACTGAAAAAGTAAGACAATGTCCCCGCTCTGTTGATGTTGTCATCCAGAAACGTCAACAAGAACTACAAGAAGAAAAGACTGTGACGTAACTTCACAGATGCTAGCTGCTATAATACACCAAGTGCTGCAATATCAAAGGAACAATACTCCACTACTGCTTCTGCAACGTCTGTGACGTTGATGGACAGTCGTCATAAACTGGAAATATTAAAAAAAAAAGAAAGAAAAAAGAAAAAAAAAAGAAAGTAAGGAATTCTACTGACAACTGAAACTCAGAGGTCATTTATTTCAAAATTCATTATATCTGCAATTTCGTGTCATTTGTAGGTAATGAGTGCAATACGTTCAATTTGATTGAAAGACAGAAAATAGGAATAGAAACAGAAATAGGATCAATAAGGTGAAATACTTAGTACTGTAATATATAGGCCCAAAAGAGGAGGAGTAGAGAGTACTTCATTCTGGTGTACTTCCACTGTAGACTTAGTGAACTGGTTCAACTGACTGTGATTGGCTGTCGGGTCACGTGACAGACTCTCATATGAGTATAGGTGTGAATGGTTGTGTTGTTGTTGTGTGTCCACCCATGTCCAGGGTCCAACACTGATGTCATGGCTGGGATTGGCTCTTTAACACAATAGTCATTTAAAGATGAATGAATAAATGGCTTCCAACACACACCTGGGTGTGATTGTTCCCACCATCGTGTGCTGAACTACACTCGGCAACAACAACAACGTCATCAACCTGCGGCGATAGAGGCACGACAGAGACGATCAAAAGTGAACGACAATCTAAAAACAAATAATGGGAAAAATGTTCTGTATATATATATTTATACATATATATATTTATACACACGTATATATGTAAATATATGTATTATATGCATATATAAAATACATGCAATATACATGTGCGTGGGTGTTTATGGCATATATATGTATTTACATATATAGATATATATATAAACACCCATGCACATGTATATTGCATGTATTTATATATGCATATACTGCATATATATATATTTATATATATATATACACATTATACACGTATATACAGCCTAGTACGTAGTTTATATTTGTCATATTAATATATACACATTATACACGTATATACAGTCTAGTACGTAGTTTATATTACATATAAACATAGAATGTTTTTAATATGTCTTGACAAATATCTCTTGATCAAGTGATCTGAGATCGATTGGTCGAGACTACACGCCCTCTGGAAACAACAAAACCAGCAGATTATTGTCACATGGCTCTTAGAACGGTCTGTATTCACCAGAGGAGACGTGACATGAGGAGGTGTTACTACAGTTACAGACCGACGAACAAACAAACAAACAAACAAACAAAAGCACAGACACCATCAGGAAAATGTGTTTTTATTAATGCAGGTCAGACAGTTCACTGTACAGCAGACAGAGTTGGAGTTTCACCGCCTCACACGCGGTTCTCTCCCATGTAACAGGACTGCGGCACAACAACCGACTGAACTAACGTCTCCCCGCCATCACCGGAACTAACGTCTTATTAGGATTGATTAGAAATTGGCAGCTGTCTCTTGTAGCGAGAAAAATAATCAGTTAAAAAATAATAAAGTTCTGTGCTAAGACACACACACACACACACATACGCGCACACACACACATAAGGAGATGTCTTGAAATAGTGTTTAAAACGTCAATATTGTTTTAGTGCACATTGAATGTAGGGAGTCCCCTCGACTTGGCAACATTGGGCGTCAATGACACTGTGAATGTTACAGGAGACACAGCGGAATGTCCCGGAAACACGCGTGGAATTTAGTGATGACACAGTGATGTCACAGTGTCTGGGAATTTCCTTCTGGGAATGTAAATGAAAACGGATCATTGCTAAAAAAAAAAATGCACGAGAGATTTTTCTGAGACACAATCACCGATCAGACAATTTTGGCTCAGGCCACTAGGGGTCGTAGCAGTAGCGAGAATTCTATGGCACAGCAGCTGCTCCTCCACTTTTTTTGAACACATGGCTTTTCTGTCACCAGCTTCAGTCAATAACGCAAAAGGCAGCCAGGTGAAGACCAAAGCATTCTAACTTTAATACACACACACACACACACAGACAGACAAACACACACACATACACACAGACAAACAAACATGGGCCGAGTCCAAAAGCTGAGTCTGGTCAATAAAAACAAATTTAAAAAAATTAAGAAAAACTTTTCTGTTGTGTGTGAGATGATCAGATCATCCATGTCATAGTACAGTTGGTGAAGTAAAACTATGACTGTTTGACTCCAACAACAGTTCTCTACAAAGGATATCAGCAGGTGTAAAACTACACAGATTCTACCTTTAATCTGAGATAATAAAAAACAAACTGTGAAAAAAGAGGAAATACAAACCCAACAGAATAAAAAATGTTGAGAAAAAAACAAACAAAAAACAACTGGACGTTGTTACGTCAGCTTCTGGACTGCACCACGTCACACACACACACACACACTGTGCTTATGTCAACATCTGTAAAGACCACATTCATATTCCAAACAGTAGATAATAATAAAAAAAAAATTTAAGAAAATTTCCTTAAGGTTTTCTTCTTTTTCTCCTCTTAAAGAACTGTACAAGATTATTAAAAAGTCATTCATTACTTATACATATTTATATGACAACAGGGTTTAACGTTATATTACTATCAAGAAATACGTTTTGGATTCTTGTCTGGATGCAGTATTCCTTTTTCAGACAGCTGTGACTGTGGCTGAAGACTGTTCTTGGTCAGCAGTATGTCGTTACTCTTTAAATGTTACTGAGATGTATTTAAAACTAATTAAAGATCTAAAATCTAACTCCGCTTCAGCCATGTCTGACCACCAGATGGAGCTGTTGTGACGAAGGTTAAATTGATACACCACAGGACGACCAGCAGACTCATTTTTGTTCATTCAAATGTAAACATTAACAGAGAGCCGACTGAATGGTCCCAGCTCCTCTCACCTCCTTCTCTCACCTCCTTCTCTCACCTCCTTCTCTTTTTCCCCTCCATCCTGGCCACAAATCTGGGAAAAGGAATACTGCATCTTTCCTTTGCTTGTTTCCTCAGTTCGTCAGCTCTTCTCTGCCTCATGCAGCGGTGGAGGAGGTGCAGACCGGACCTAGGCAGGACCCTCCTTTGGAGACGACGGAGTCGTGAACGTGGAGCTGGAGGAGGAGGAGGAGGAGGAGGAGGCAGAGTTCTTCAGGGAGCCCAGAGTCTTGCTGAACCAGGAGTTCTTGGCTGCCTGGATCTCATTCATCAGGACTCCCCGCTGGTGCTCCAGCTCCTGCAGGGACAGGAGGAGACGATGACACTCTCTTCTTCAGTTCAACCATAATTTACAGTTGATATGTTTCTATGTTCACGGAAAATAATTACTGTCCGACCACAGTAGTAAATACTACACAACGACGGAGTGTTAGGGCTACATTGAGAATAATAAAATTAAATTACGAGAAAAAAACTAGTTAGTAGTTTTTGTTGCAGTAGTAGTAGGCAGTGTTAAATACAACTCAGAAAAAATATATTTTCTCCAAATGGACTCATTTTAAAGCATAAACATAGAAGTGAGAGTTTAACAGTGCTTCCCAACTATTAAAGCCTTCACAAAATAATTATCAAGAGCTCTGCAACATTGACCCGTTCCTTACGAGACACCACTGTGCACGTTCACCATGGTGACAGAGATTGTTCAGTCACATACCTCCGTTTCCTTCAGACGACGTCCGAAATCTGACCGTGAAGGACGGCTGCTCAACAGTGGACCACGTCCAGCTTCTCCCTCAGCTTCAGGAACGTGTCGTCGTTAGCGAACGGATAAGACGTTTTTTTCAGCTAATGAGCCACGGTGGCTAACGTGGAGCCTTTTTGACTGTGAGTCTCGGTACAGACGGTAACGTTCGTACATGGCTTCAGGACTTTACTTTGAAATGTGAACTTTAAAAACCTGCGGCGATGTTTAGTAAGGAAACAGTTCCTGTTGCATAACACCTGTAATATTATTTTGAGGATGGACACAGTCCAAAACATTTTCCCCCCCGTAGCTTTACAAACAAGCTGTGTTTGTAAACAACATCTCATTTTCTCACTTTCTTTTCCTTACTGACAGAGTCGTGTGGTGCTGCTCACCTGGATGCGACACTTGGCCTCCACCAGCTGCAGCTTGGTCTGAGCCAGCTCCAGCTCCAGGTGCCTCAGCTGCTCCGTCAGCCCGTCCTTCTCCTCGTCCAGAGGTTCGGAGGACGCCTTGTCTCCGGGTGAAGATGTCTGGAGGTTTCCGAGTGTGCTGAACAGGTCTTTACAGTGGTCACAGTTCATGACTTTACTCTGCAGGGAGTCAGAACGAAACTACATTAGATTACAGATAAAAAAAACCCCCAAACAAATAAATAACAAATAAAACAAGGTCATCTGACAGGTCGACAGGTCGTGACCTCACCCTGACTATGTCCAGCTCTTCTTTGGTCGCCGCCTGCTGTTTCTCCAGCCTGGTGCTGAGCTGGGAGCAGATCTGAAACACAGAGGAGGATCAAATAAAAAAAAACCCAAACACATCACATGTTTGAAGGAAAGTGTTCACTGATGAGGCGGGATCTGAACCTGTTTGTACTCGGCTATGATGGCTGTGGTTTTCTTGATCTCCATCTCTGCTTTCTCCAGCTCTCTCCTGAAGACTTCCTTCAGCTGAGAAGGTCACAAATACACAACAGAAACACACAGTCTGTAAATGTGATACAAACCTGTAAATCATCAATGAGTTTCTGCAGTTCTGGAGCTGCAGAAAACCAGCAGGAAGTAATAAAAGCCGTACTGTAGGGGGCAGCAAAGTGCAGTAATCATCAGCGACAACTGAAATTGAACTCCAGTGTTAGAGCGACTGTGGTTTCACGCTCATACTTTGCTAAGCATTTGAACTATTCTAATAATATAATGTTCTGTAATATGAACCAGAAACACATCGTATTTAAATTTAGATTTTTAAAAAAAATGTATTTTTTGTGCTGAGAGCGACTGTTACCTGAGCCGTCTCCTTCTCCTGCCGTCTCTTCTCCTCCTCAGTCTCCACCAGACGTTGTTTGGTGCTCAGCAGCTCTTTGTTCAAAACATCAGCCTTGTCTTCTGCCTGAAACACACAAACACACAACATCCCACTATTTAAAAATGTTGGTCAAATAGTTCACAGTCTGAATCAGTTACAGAATAAACATCTGTTACTGCAACTTGTGTCTGCTGATACTGATATACAGCTGATACTTTTATTTTCTACTTCAGCATGCCACTGGATGTCGCTGCTGAGACGATAGTGTCCCTGTTTATGGCCCGTCACACAAAGTTAAGTTCAGCATTTGATCTTAGGTATCGATCAATGTTTGATGCAGACATTTTGAACCATTTACAGTAGATACCAATCCCATAGATATTCCAAAAACACACACACTAGAAAGTGTCAGCGCCATCAGACTGTTGTACGATTGAACATCCTGACTTACCTGGTCAAGGTCGTTTCGAAGTGCGATCTTACTGGTGACCAGCTCGTGGGCCAAGTCATCGTTCTCCTGCTCCAGCCTCATACTGGCTTCTTGAAGACGACGGTTCTCCCTCTGCACACACAACAACACACACACACACACACACACTGTGTCATTGGAAAATGACAGAACAGAACAACAATCTTACTGTAAGGCAAGAGCATCATCCACTCTTCCACTGTGTGGCGCTTTTAAAAATTTAAGAAATGTAAGAAAGTAGCTTAACGTTATCACCGACACAAAACCGTCGACATCGTGGACGACTATTGTTGCTGCTGCAGATCATTAGTGATGTCCCATGACTGTGTGTGTGTGTGTGTGTGTGTGTGTGTGTGTTT